AGTAGCCAAAGTTTTCATGCAGAACTGGGTGACCATTTTTGGTTCACTCATAACAATAACGACGGATAGAGGAGCGCAATTCGAATCCGAACTATTTAATAACTTGGCTAAACTTCTAGGCTCCAATAGGATACGCTGCACTGCATATCATCCTCAGGCTAATGGGATGGTAGAACGTTTTCACCGTCAGCTAAAAACCGCCCTTATATCTCACTCAAACCCCAATCAGTGGACAGAATTCCTACCGTTAGTTATGTTGGGAATACGAACATCTGTCAAAACTGACGCACAGTGTTCAGTTGCGGAATTGGTTTTCGGAACAACTCTGAGATTACCAGGTGAATTCATTAACCCTAATACTAACAGTCAAAAACTTAATTTAGAAAATTATGTAGATCAACTACGGGACCACATGTCTAAACTTAAGCCGATTAATACTCGTGAACAATCGCGCGCCGTATATATACCTAAAGATCTGAGCAATTGCACGCACGTCTGGATAAGATGTGACAAAATAAAGGCACCACTCAGTCCTCCATTTGAAGGTCCTTTCAAAGTTGTCTCAAGAAAATCTAAATATTTCGTGATAGAAAAACATGGAAACATCGACACAGTAAGTATTGATAGGCTAAAGCCGGCTTATCTAGATCATGAACCACCATACGTGTTGTTAGATCGTTTAACTGACAAATCCATTACGGAATCGAAATGTAAAGATGATAAATCTTTACAAATGACTAAAACGGTTCGCTGGGCACATCCGATTAGTCAGTCAAGGATGTTGACAGTTTCGACTGCAGGATAAAATCTAACTACGTAGCTAATCAGACCCTGCATCTACTTAACAATTTTTTTCCTCATTCCGCCTCACATACAACTCCCCAGACCTTTTACCTTCGATATATAAGTGTTATGTTAAATATTTTTTTAAATACTGGACACATAAGCTAGGTATTCCGAAACGATGGCCGAGGATTTTAATGAAACTCATGCAACTAACACTGGCAAATACAACGAATTCAAAAGGCAACCCAGAATACCAATCCGTTCTGGAGGCCAAGCACATACATGAACCGAACAATTATCAATTGCATTTATGTATTTCCATTTTGTATCTTATTATTTTATGCAGGCAGTGGAGCAATTCTTCAGGTTTGCTTGATTTTCACTATTACCTTTGAAGTAGACTCTTCTTTACTTTTTACTTAAGGGCAACTCAAGAGGCAGGTGAGTAAACACCTGATAGCCAGTCTGAGCATGGGAAAATCGTACCTCACCAACATGGTGTTGGGTAGCCCGAGCGCGGCACTTCCTCAGATATTCTTATTCCACATTCTCACACTTTCTCTTGAAAGCACGCAGCAAACCGTCAGCGATAGTTGTAGAAACGATCACATGCTACAAAATAAGATGACAAGCTAGTAAATGAATAGACATCCATGGACTATCATTGAAAGCGTTAGTCGTAACTGATTGTAAGTCAAATAGTGAGCGAGTTGATAATTAAGCCTTGGGATGAGAAATAGACCTAAGGTGTTTTCGATAGATAGGTTAATCAAACCGACGTTCCTACGGAAGTCGATTCTAGGGGAAGCTAATGTAACAGCTCAGGTTGGTTGGTTAAGAGTTGACCCCAAACAACCAAGCATATGCTAAAACAGTATTGTTCAAGTATTCATTCACTTCCTTACTTTTTGTAAGCGTTATATTCCCTATTATCTTATATTGAATGTTGAGAGCCTTTGTTTGTCTGAACAGATAAACCCACGCTCCACTGTGACTGCGTGAAGATCGAAATAAAGACCTATTCACTACTTCTCTGGTTTCTTCTATCAATAGCAGGAGGGTTACCTTAAGGCACGAAAACTTCTCAAGAGATTTTGATAGGGCAACCATATACGTCTTATCAATACGCTTAAGGGATTTGGTATCAAACCATTTCTAATTGACTGGCTGACTTCATATCTGAAAAATCGACATTTTAAGGTCAGAGTTGACTTCACTTTCTCTCAGGCTATGGAATGTCCTAGTGGGGTCTGCTCTTCTTGATTTATATGAACGATCTTCCACAACAAGTAACGTCTGACTTATTTCTTTTTGCTGATGATGTGAAACTTTGGAGAGAGATACGCAACCAAAAGGACATACTAGCACCTCAGGAGGATCTGACTCGACTTCAAAGTTAACAATGGACTTACCTCCAACACTTTTAAGAGTAAAGTTGTTCATCTGCGACAAGGTGCAGACTATAGTAACAACTTAAAAAACTCCTCGCTAGAAGTATCCCAAGTTGAAAAAGATTTAGGAGTGTTGGTACCCTGCGACTTGAAGTCGTACGCTAACTGTGACAAAAACGCCTTTCAAGCAAACCTTGCACTGGTAACATTGAAGTGAATTTTTGGCCAGTTTGACGGTACAACTTTCCACATAATCTTCAACAGTTTTATTCGTCCCTATTTAGAGTACGGAAACATAGTATTTCCTTCCTCTCTCCAAAAGGATTAGGACACTCTGGAACGTATCCAATGTCGAGCCACGAAATCAGTTCGGGGACTTAAATTTGAACCTTATGAAGAGCGCTTCCAATCACTTAACCTTTACCCGTTGGAGTACAGCCATTTTAGAGGTGACCTTCTTATGACTTACAGTATCCTTAACACTTCTGATAATTTACTAAAACATCTACTTAAGCTCGATCGCAATACTAACCTAAGGGGTAACACCCAGAACCTGGAGACCCAACATAGCAGAACGGACTGTCGACAAAACTTCTAACAGTTAGTATAGAGTCTTCAGTCTTCAGTCTTCAGTAATAAGGATAGTAGGTTGATGAACCTGTGTTAATCCTGACAGATTTCCTTCCAGTGAAGGTCCAGCTTCTTTTTGAAAATGTTCACTGATGGTGCTGATACCACTTGTTCTGGTAAAGCGTTCCAGTCATTGACCACTCGATGAGAAAAACGGGACCCCACCTTTAGTTTATTAGATCGCGGTTTCAGAACCTTCTTGCTATGACCCCGGGGATTATTAGTGCTGGAGGGAGCAAAAAGATAAGACATATTAACACCCAGATCATAATTAAAGATACCAAATGCCAGTATAAGGTCACCTCGCGTCCTACGATAAGATAAGGGGAAAAGATTTAGACGTTTTAAACGCTCATCGTAAGGGAGTTTAGAAAGACCCTTTACTAATTTTGTCCCTACACGCTGGACACGCTCAAGAGATTTAGTATCCTTTATCAGACAAGGGCTAGCTGCTTGGATACAATATTCTAAGTGTGGCCTTACATAGGTGGGATATAAAATTCGAAGCATATCCTCGTCAAAGCATTTAAATGCTCTGCGAAGCGACCATAGCGCTCGATAGCCTTTGGAAGCAACCGCATTGCAGTGTGTAGTAGTTTTTAAGTCGTGACTTATAATTACTCCTAAGTCTTTGTGCTCATGAACGCGTGGCAGAGATGTACCATTAATGGTATAGTGGTAACTAATATCGTGCCCGATGTGAATGAACACGCTCTTCCTGGAATTAACTTCCAGGCCCCAATCATGAGCCCACCTAATTAATTCGTCTAAATCTGCTTGCAGATAACAACGATCAGTCTCATTTCTTATTGTTCTCCAGATTTTAACATCATCCGCAAACAATAATGTCGACGACTTAAGTAATAAAGGTAGTTCATTAATATACAGAAGGAAAAGTAAAGGGCCTAAGATGGTGCCTTGGGGTACACCACTTTTGACCGGTTTCCATTCGGATAGAGTTCCATTGACTCTCACTCTCTGTCTGCGGTCACATAAGAAGCTTCCTATCCATTCCTGTATAGCACCTGTTATACCAAAGCTTGAGAGCTTTTGCATAAGACCTAAGTGTGAAACCTTATCAAACGCTTTGCTAAAATCTATGAATATCACGTCGACAGACTGGACGTTGTCTAGGCAGCTGTCCAATCCTCTCTCGCAATGAGTAAATTAGTCAACCATGAATGCTTGTTACAAAACCCATGTTACGGGAGTTAAACGAATCTATGTGGCTTAGTGGCTTAGCCCGAATTAATTTTTCAAGTAACTTAACTACTATACTGGTCGGACTAACAGGCCGGTAGTTAGATAAGATCCGTCTCTGACCATCCTTAAATATAGGACTAACTATGGCGTCTTTCCAGTCTCTAGGTAGTTGAGCCTGTGAAAGGGACATGTCGAAGAGCATCGTCAGCGTTCTTGAGATAATGTCCGCAAGCGATGACAGCAAACGTGGGTGTAACCCATCGGAGCCCGGTATCTTACAAGGTTTTAGGTTAGTTATCAAAGGAAGAACAATATCCTCTGTCACGTGCAAAGGTCCTATGGCTGGTATCTCATTGTCAACGGGACAAGTAGTTGTAACACTACACGTAAAGTAGACTTCACTGAAATAGTTTGCAAATGTCTCCGCTTTTGCTAGATCAGATTCAGCCAATAAAGCTGAATTTTCGCTTAACAGTAATGAGGGGATACCATAACTACGTTTCGTCCGCCTTTTAACATACGAAAACAGTCGCTTCGGACAGGTACGGCTATCGTATGCCAACTGTCGTTCGTAAGCCATGCGGGATTTAGCTATGGTCTTTTTACATATATTCCGGATTTTTTTATATTCGCACTTAAATGATGACTGACCTGTTGACAAGAATAAGTCCCAGAAGTGTTTCCTACGCTTCAACAGCTTCTACTCCTTAAAAGTTGTCGAATGCTGAAATTCGCTGCCGGCTGAGCTATTCCAAGTAACTTTCCAGGAGTCCTTTAAGGGTAAACTTTATTTATTCTTAAGGACTGAGGATAACATATTATTATGATTTACCAATTTTTTTCCGATTATCGTTAATATACCTATGTTCCTGCCTGGAGGTATTACTGATCCACTGCCACTAGATACGGAAGCCCGTTAGGCGAAAGCTTCTTTTATTCCGTCCACAACCATTTAACCATTTAATTCATGTTATTTATGATCACTTGGATCAACTCTATATTTTATTTATGGTTGCTACGACACCAGTAGTTACCAGGGCGAGGTTTAAACATGACACTTGATGCACAGGATGAATATAGTGAGGATTTTTTTTACGTTTTTGATGTATATTTTACCCAGAGATGAAAAAAGAAGACATTGAGTTGTATAAAAGAATAAGGTATTATGGATTAATTGTTGTTTCAAAAATGTGGAACATAGGAGAGAAGTTGAACAAGAATTTATGGCAAAATCTGAGCCTGTGGATTACAGATCAGTGACCAAAGTTGATTTTCATAAAGATGTAGTCCGGTTGTCTCCCAGGCCCGAACCAATGGTAGGTCTGTTGAAAATGAGTCAAGATTTATTTATTTGGAGGATTTATAAACCTTTAAATATATTTACACTTATGACCTGTAACATATGTAAAAGAACCTGAAGAAGGTCATAGATCTTATCATTCTATAAAATCCGTTGCAAAAAGCCCTGTAACTAAAGGGAATTATCTTGATAAGTTACATATGTGGTCCACATGATTTACTATCCAAGCTCTCTATTTCGAGGTAATTTCGTGAAAGCCGCTATAGAAACTTTTGAGAAAATAGCATCAAAACCCCAAGCTTTTCCCATACCTGGGAGAATTATGCGAAAAATTGGGTTTTTCTACAATATTTCCTCGAATTTTCCCTCAGAATTTTACAACGCTTTGGGGAAATCCGTCTACATTTTGTAATAATTATCATAAAATGTATAAATTTTAAACACCCTAAATTTTCTGCAGTGTTGGGGAAATTGTTAAAAATGCATCATTTTGACGCAGTATTTCTCTACAATTTTTGACAGATATCACTGTTAAGCCTAAGTACCCAAAAGTCTCCACTCATGTATTCCAATGTTTCCTGCTAAATTCACACAGTAAACGCACTGTTAAAGCAATTTAAATACAAAGTAGTATCATAATCTCACGATTTCGGGGAAATTTCGGGGAACTTTTGGCAAATTTTCGGATTTCTCCAAAAATTGTAAGAATATTATAGCAACTATCCTACAATCAATTTCGATTATAGCCAATTTTGGTTAAGCCCTTTTTTATAACTTACTTAACAGACATCGTCATTTGGATAGTAACAATTTGCATATTCTTTGCACTGCTATACCACTAGAGCACATGACACTCTAGCCGAAATGTTGACTGCTTAAATATCATTCGATGACTCATACTCCTCCCCATATATGTACGCACGCAAATATTATTATCAGCCTTTGCTTTGCTTTGCTGTGCCCTTACTAAATTTGACTATAAATTGCCTATGTAGTTGCGTGCTATTCGCTCGCTTGCTCCTCGTTCGTTTCCTTCGCTTGTTTGCCTGTTCACTCGCTCGTTCATATTCGCTCAGGTGTTGTTAGCTTCCGAACCTGAGTCATTCGACAATAAACTGTAGTTGCTGCTATCCTTTGTCTTCTGATTTTACGCGCCGTTAAGATTAGAATTATAACGGTTATCGAAGTAAACGGTTAACGAATCGCGGCACTACAATGTAGTAGTTCTCACCAAAGTTTCGGGAAATTTTGGGGCGAAACCTCAAAGCGTTATAAGATTCTGAGAAAACCCACACGCTTGAGTGTGGTAATGATCTTAACAACATATGAACTGGCTGCTTGGACACAGTACTCTGGGTGTGGTCTTACATAGTTGGAGCACAAAATTTGGAACCTTTTCTCTTCAAAGCACTTGGATGCCCGGTGAGGTGACCATGACGCTCGAACAACATTTTTTCATCGAGCCAATTACGGTAGATAGCTTTCATAAACTAACCTATTAGTTCATCACATTGAAAATACGGCGGATATTCTAGTTTAACAACTAGCTACCAGTAGCACCTTCTATAATCGAAACCCTTTTGGCCAAACGGAAATGAGAAGTCAGACGAGAAGAGGTAGGAAAGATATATTTGATACGTTATCAATATATCGAGGAACCTTCATTATAAGCTGGCTAATGAACGTAGGAGCAGTGTCCCATGCCGAGTTGAAACGTGATCTGGTGCGGATGCATGATCGAAAGCCTACAGTTAAACAAGTCCACTTAAACAACGTGGTCAGGATCCAATGTCGAACACTTAGAAAGCTGTTGATTTCGGGGAATTATTTACAGCTACAACATACAATAAAGCAGCCTTACCTATAGTGAGGTTTGCTTCTTGAATTGAAAATTAAAGGTGCCTTATGTATTTTGGGTTTGAGAACGCCTTAACCAGTAACACCTTTTATGATCGAAATGTCCCAACTCAGTTAAATCAGAAGTAAAAAGCGAAGAGGCTCGAAGAAATATTTGATAAGTTATCTATATATCGTCAAGTGATCAACCTAATCTGGTCAGCGGTTGTAGGAGATCTGGTGCGGATGCATGACCGAGCGCCTACAGCCAAGTGGGTCCATTAAAATTAATGCGGTCAGCATTAAATGTCGAGGACTTACAGAGTTATTGATAAATAAAATAAATAAATAAAACTAATCTCTTTATATCTTGTAATTCTACCGCTGACAGTAACATTCTACAGTCATCTAAACTTTACATAGCCTACCACAAACTGATTTTCTTATGCTCATAGACACTATTTGTATTTGGAGTGAGACAATATTTTCGACGAAACCATCGGTGTTACTTTCGAACCAGCATGTTTCTGGTGTTAATTAAAATCCTTAAAGGACTGCTCGAGGAAATGTTTCAAGTTCCTCTACTTTAAATAAACGTCACCCACCAAGATTTTTTGGAGAGTTATTAGAATTATCTTTCACACAAGGTCACATATTGCCTTTATAGCAGTGAGGTTGTATAATATTTCCTATTCTAAAATGGTGGCGTTTGAAATGCGTTTAAAAATCAAGTGAGTGCAACAAGAAGAATGAAGCTTCAGGCTAAAATCTGATATTAATATGAAATACAGATAAGGATTTTAAGCTTGCAATTGATATACTTCTTATTCAGTGTGAGATATGAGGAATGTCAGTCAAATACCAGTAAAAAGCCTGAGTTATATCCACATCTAAGTTACCTGGACCGAGTCGACCAAGTTTTTACATCGAAAGTTATGAATTCGCGTCTTTTTATAGCGTAATTTATCATTTGGTTCATTAAGTCATGAAAGTACTAAACTGAAGTGGGACTTTAGTCACACAGGTGGACACGGAAAGTTCACCTAGGGGAGTTGGAAAACCCTGATTCCAAACCAATGGTGCATATGGGCTCCAGTATCCTGAGGTAAAAAATGGCGTATGAATCAATCGTTGGTCACTGGCTGCCATGGGACTGCATCTCCTCATGGTGCTCTACTGCTTTGTGAATCAGACCTTTAGGTCAAAGGCTCCGGGTGTGGCCCTCTAAGAAAACTACTTGCTTCGGTTTGAGCACCCGGGCAGTACCACAGCCCTCACACAAACCAAATGAGATTTGTGCGGTTCATATGTATCTGGTACCCCATTGTACCAATATTTATGTGTTCAAATAAATAAATAAAAATTAGTCACACAGAATATTTTATACAGAATAATACAGTCAACAAGTATATCCATAGGTTCAAAAATTGCGAAATAAGACTTCTTTGTTGGTTTGGGGCTGAATTGTTCCGTATGTTGTTACTACAGATGTCACATATTCTTAATATTTTTAACATTTGAGGTGTAAAAATGAGTATTCAGAGACAAGAGGTCAAATAAACCTATCCTGGATGATTCCTCAAGATACACAGTTTTGTTTAATAAGAAAACTAACGTTACTACGCAACAAGTCTGAGTTGGATAGAAAATTTAACATAAAATTATTCCCATTCTTCATTGGCATATCTTCCATACCGACAGGCCAAAGTATTATAGTTGTCAACTTTTAAGTCGCTCGAAAAGTTTTAATATATTTACTTTTTGGAACTACATTTCAGCTCACGATAATTTCGATCAACACAGCCCTTACCTAACTAATACATTTTCATTCAAGGTTGGCTCAGAATATTCTTTGCTTATGATATCATACAAAGTGTTGCGAATCAACGTGACCAGTAACTATAACTAATGAGTCCTAGACATATACATAATTCAGAATCATATTTCTAGGTTTATGGAATTAATTGGATTGGTGTTGTGATATATCTTTCAATTTCCAATCTTAGTATGTTATTTACATATTTTGGTATTTTTCTTAAGAGTTATTATCTCAGCGAATAATTCTTCAGATCATGAAATCATTGAAGGTCATAGTGGATTTTATTGATGTTCTTCTGATGAGTAGAATACATGTGAAATAATTTTAGTCACTGTTTAGCTACTTATAAATTTTCAGTAGTATGAATTATTTTTCATTAAAATGTAGAAAAAGCCACGTTTCGTAGCCATGGTTTCTAACTCTGTTTTTATAATTCTTTACAAAATTTGCGAAGTAGCCCTAATTATCCCTTCAATATAGACCTTCTTAAAAATGAATTTTACACGCCTACCTTTACACCTTCGAAACAAAGTTTTTCTTGGAGTCGATGTTGGTGAAACTTTCTGATCTCAAGGATATACTTAAATAAGTTTATTTTCTGTTCATCTAAACCGTCTTAAAGAGTTAGAGTGCTCTAAATTAAGATTCAAATATAGGTTTAACAGTCACTCAACTCCTACTATAAATTGTAACAATTTGATGAATGCTTTAAATGTTAAAAAGGAGTTCATCAGATGAACAATAATAATAGTAATCTAATTTCTCTATAAGACTGTAAATAATAACAATAAAGATGTTTGTCCCCGTTGATATCCATATTACGCATCTTCAATTTCTCTAAATCTCAAATTTTTAGCTTCATGAAATGGTTCGAGAACAACCGGTTACATTTTGGACAGAACACAGAGATAAAATGCATGTAAATTTAACTAGTATTTTGTAATATTTTGTCATTATAATTTACGCTATGAAATTTCTTAATAACTTTATTGGACCCCAAGGAATTAGCATCAGTAAAAAATTCTATTTAGTTTTGTTTAAACATATCTCCCCGCCTTTCTAACCAATCGACTCTTATTGGATTTATAAAGATTATCAAGAGATCATTGATGATCATCGTTAAATATTAAACATATCACATATAACACTCAGCGATCTCATTAAAAACAAATAAGTGAAAGGTAAAACAGAATATACAAATAAGGAGAAAAATGAAAAACATTCTTTAAGTATCTGAATGCTATCGTTAACTATTGATGTACCCCAGAGTGTTTTATGGAAATCTTGAATATAAAAGATAACTACGTAATACAGTTGAAGACTTCACAGTCTGATGTCTTATTTTGAGTTTTGTTATATAGCTTACTCAGGTATACTTGCACGTTATTTTACGACAGAGATAAGTGTTAAAATATTTGACGAATTGATGATTAAATATTATACAGAACCGTTTTGTTGTTTTTCTTTATTTCGAATATGATACTTAAGATTATTATCCGTACCACATATATAGGTCACTAATTCATATTACATAGTTAGTTTCACCAAATCATTTCAATATATTATTTTTAATCTATAGTACTGGTTTCATTCACCTAAGTGAACGTTTAAAAGACTCAATAAAAAGATTTTATTTCATGTATTGCATAAATTTTTAATTATCTTTTGTCTTTCCGTCATTTCTAATCAGTATTCTTTCCATCATTGTTAAGTCTAGTTTACAGTTACATAAAATATAGTTGTGGCTGTTCTCATTTTTGTATACACTGTCTTTAATCGACCTTAGATTACAATAGTTACTTTCATTATAGCGATCAACCAAAGTTAATCCATTCGGTTTTATTTCGTCAAAGTGTGTAAGTACACTAGTTTATAAACGAAATTACGTTCACAAATAACTTATTGCTTCATATAATAATCGACCTAAATTACTGAATAATTGGTTTCAGTTTATCAATATAACCAATTTCAGTTTAAAAGCAATATAAGAAGTTAGGATTTGGATCAATGTAGAAGAATTTACTTACTTACTTATTTACTTACTTACTTACTTGCTTGCTTGCTTGCTTGCTTACTTACTTACTTACTTACTTGCTTACTTACGCCTGTTACCCCTCGTCGAGGAGCATAAGCCGCTCACCAGCATTCTCCATCCAACTCTGTCCTGAGCCTTCCTTTCCAGTTCTTTCCAGTCACTATTCATCCTTTTCATATCTGCTTCTATTTCCCGGCGAATTTAGTGTGAATAAAATTCATTTATTAAATATATGATATAATGAGACAATATTATTTACTGAATAGCCTTCTTAACAAAATATACTATTCATTATCATCTTCATGATATCATTCTGGAAAGAAATTTTGTTTCGACTTGCTGAATGTTCAGTAAATGGTAGAGATTTATCAACACTGTTATAGTAGTATGAACCAAACTAATAATTATTTATGAATTGATTATTTTAATCTGTTGTCTGTTTTACCATGAAATTAATCCAAAACTATCATCAAAGAAATTCAGATATTTGACTAATTCTGTATGGTACACAGCGTAAATACCAGGATTTTTTTTGTTATTCCAAAATGTATTGACATTTATTAATTTATAAAATGAAAGTAACATTAACAATGTGTTACACGGTGAAACGAACTTAATAATCGATCACTGCACGTTGGAGACATTTATTTTCTATTTTTCGCTTATTAATCTCGAAGTGGACAGGTCGTTTTCTGTATCTTTAAGTGTAAATTGGTGCTTTAAAACAAGCTTAAACTTTAGATTCTGTGTGGACAGATTTACTTATGACTTTGAAATAAGAGGAAATTAAAAGAATTTATGGGAAACTTAATATATCATGTTGAATTTCAGAGATTCTAGACTCCCTAAAAGTTCCACATCGATAATGCCTGTACACCCAGTAGGTCATAGGTAGAAAAATAAGTATAAGTAAAAAAAGAACAGTATGTTTGAGGGAATAAGACAACCAACTACGACCCAATCGGTAAGTCATTCAGATCGTGTGTAAGAAATGTCATCTGTGAACGACGGATAACCAAAAATATTGTGAATGCTTAACTGTGTACTTACGGTTAAATTAATTCATTGGAACTAAACTTCTAAGATGCCCAAACTCACGAGAATGCAAGCTATCATGCCCATAATCTCCAGGCTATGCATTGAGTACAATAGATTTGATCCATATCTACAACTTCAGACAATACGTAATCCACTATTAGTATCGGTCTCACTACCCTGGTTACTCTCAGATCAATGCAGAAAGATTACAGTATCCTCTGAAAAATGAGTCTCATAAAGACGACTGTCTAAAATCTGTATTAAAAAAGGTGATAATTTAACTCTGGCTAACGAAAACTAATAAATGTTCAAGGTTGACCATCGAGCTGTAATGTTATTTATCATACAACAGTCTACAGTGTTTAATTTTAAACATTTTGCTGATAAACTCTACTTGTTAACCTTTTCCACAGTGTACTTTTTGTAATTTACAATGTAATTTGCAATACAATAGATTAGTCCGGTATATTATTACATGACTTGATTACATTTAATATTTTTATTTCAGAATAATGCAATACTTTTAATTAGATCTAGTTTATCACTTTTCCTATTGAGTTTTAATTCAGCTTATTACTGAATAGTTTCTTTTTTTTCATTTATTGCAATAGTTGATATCAATGAAAAAAAAAAACATTTTCTGACTCCTAGTAAATCAAAAATGTCAGTATATTTTACAGCAAACAATTCTCATTACTGATTATTCATTACGTTACGTATTAATTACTTACTTACTGACACCTGTTACCCCCAATGGAGCATAGCCCGATCAGCATTCTCCAACCCAATCACTCTGTCATGCGCCTTCCTTTCTAGTTCTATCCAATTGTTGTTCATTCTTCATAACATTTCTCGGCGTAATGCATTCTTTGATCTTCCTCTTCTCCGTTGGCCTTGGGGATTCCATGTGAGGGCTTGCCTTGTGACGCAGTTGGGTTCTTTCCTTAATGTGTGTCCTATCCGATTCCAGCTCTTCTTCCGTTGGAATCTGATTTGTTCTCTCCCACAGTAGGTTGTTGCTGATAGTGTCTGGCCAACGGGTCCGAAGTATTTTGCATAGACATCTGTTAATAAATACTTGTATCTTCTGGATGATGACTTTCGTAGTTCTCCAAGTTTCCGCCCCACGCAGTAGAACTGTCTTGACATTTGTATCGAAAATTCTGACTTGGGTGTTGGTTGACAGACAGTTGTTTTGAGTTCCAGATGTTCTTCAGTTGTAAATATGCTGCTCTTGCTTTGCCTATCCTATTACTGAAGGCTATCTTGAATTCTTTGAGTCGGTTCACAAATACTTTTATAAACCGTTTCTCACAGCTTTTATAATATTTGTATGTAGACTACTAAAATATCGAGGAACAGCATCATGAAATAACGATCTAGAAATCTTTTAAGTGAAATCCCTAACATTTTCAAGCAATTTAAAGAATACAAAAGATTTTATTATTTAGTTTGTCAGTAATGAGATTATATAATCTAAATTTTTCATTGAACAAAGTCATGAGAGACGAATTCGTAATAAATTATATCTTTAATTAAATCCTCATCAAAATCAATAAGTGTTTGATGAAATTTCGCTTTCATCATACCAAATCACCAAAAGCCTATAATTATAAATCCTAAACTAATTCTACTCTTTACAAAGCTATTCATAAATGCGATGCAAGTTGTCATCGCAATCAACTTCGAGAAAAAATCAAGAGCTTTTATCTTAATTCGGATTGATTTGGGAGTATAATACAATTATGCCAACATTAATTATCGATAAAACCCTCCAGGAAACTTATATTTCTATCAAATGATTTTATCGATAAGCTTAAATTTATAAAAATAAAAAACTCTTTTCATTGTGATATTTTATTGTGTTAACGAATATGTTGTGTCATTTTAGTTATTTAGTCATAAGCAAAGAAGAACATGAAAAATATATGTATTGATTCAAGTTGCCACACCAAGTTAACATAACGATTTGATGTTATTAGGAAAAATGTCAGGGTAGCATAACTATCAGTGGTAGTAGAAAAGACTAGACATAGGCAAAATGACTCGAGGAAAAGAATGAATTCGTGGAACAAAAAGCATAAGATAATTTTATGACTCAGGATCTCAGAGAAAATAGAAGTGATTGGACCTGCACTACAGGGACCGATTTTGGTCTCTGTCACTTCTCCAAGCGTTAGTTACAACAATCACATAAAACCGAAAGAGGTAGTTTGTAGTTCAATCCAACTATTACTGACTCCATGATCTGGTGCCAAGTATTTGTTTGACCGCCTCTAGCTTTTTTTCAATCTACTCATACACCATCACACATAAGGTATCGAAGTAGGTGGTGTTTGAACATATGTAATACACGATTTAACTACCTCAGTTGATGAAAATTAACTACCCCATCAAGAAATCTATCATCGTTATCTGGTACTCCATATCAAATTATAGCAATGCTTAGTACTTTTAAAGAAGTTATTCTTAATTTAATATGATGTTATTCAATGATTATTTTTGATCAACCCCGATGGTACATTTCACGACTGAATATAAAAATCAATATCAGCCATATGATTATGGATTAATTAACACTATATTATGAACATTTGGTGCTATCCATAACGATAAAATAATAATAAGTAAACCATAAAACAAACTGTAATATCGGTTGATATGTCAAGCTTATATACTTCATTCTAGATTCTGGGCAATTCAATTCACCTATCCATCATAAGTCATGTTTTCACCCTGTTAATTATTCACTTATTAATCCTAACCATTTTTATATGAGCGTAGGTGTGTGTACACTTCTTATCCTATTTATTACATGTCTGTCATTTATTCTTGTTTGACTATAAATATTGATTAATGCTTGATTAAAGTGAGTTGGTTTACCCACCATCTCCAATGCATGTCATTTTTTGTTTCGTTCACTGATATTTACTCATGTGCTTATAAGTTTCTGACCTGCGTAATTTGACAATAAACTGTATCTGCTGCTTCTCTTTGCCTTCTGATTTTATGCACCGTTAAGATTTGTATTATAACGGTTATCGAGGTGAACGATGAACGAATCACGGCACTACAAAAGAAAAAAAAATCGTTCCATCATAAACTGATTACATAATTATGAGAATCACAAATGAACATAATGTAAACTGGAATTCTTAATGTATTGTTAAATTATCTCATAAAATGATCCAAATTTAAGAAAGATACATCATAAACTTTTAATGGACGCATAATTTGGGTTATTTTTTTTTAATGCAAATTCTCATAGCTTTTACTGTATGTAAAAGGTGTAGTCATGCACAACCACAGAATATAATAGATGAGTTTCAATAGATAATTCATTTTATATACTACCATTACATTAAATTGATTTTCAATGTCAATGAAATGTAAAAAAAAAGATAGAATTTCGTTTGAAATTCAATCCAAGTGTAATCATGAATTTAAGAAAGTTTGGTTGTTTTGTTTGTTTTTATTTTACTTCACATATTAGTTGTCAAGTAAAAACAAAAAAAACGAACAAACAATCGATTTCACCGTCAAAATAATCATCATGTTTAATCTATTTTTACTAATTTTTTTGTTTTGTTAAATGTGAATTTGTCAAATCAACAAATAATATTTTCATTAAATAATTTATGTGGAAAGATAATAAATAAAGGAAAAACTTGTCATTGTTGACAAAAACAAATATTCTGTATAGTATGAATATTTCTTCTCAACATGACAATTTTTAGGAGAGTGTACAGCTGGTTATTCTTAGGAACTAGTCATGTTAAAGGCGTCACATTTAGTTCTCGGTTCGATTCCTGAGTGCGGAATCGTGAGTGCGTACTCCCGAGGAGTACGGTACAAGGATGAAACGTCCTTTCAGTGGCGGTCTAACTTAGATCAGTTTGTGATTTCAGTGAAATTCAACAATCTTTACAACCCCATACTGAAAAACATCACGATAAAGTTTGATTTATGATTGTGCACTGTAGATCTAATAATTATCAATTCAATTTAGTTTAGATTGAAACCGATAAAGGTTGTAATTGGATGGAATCAATGTGAAACTTTGGACTTGGGTTTCGTCTTGTCTTGCACTCGTCATCAAGGTTTACTTTTAGCTGTACCTGGTCACTATCAGGTAATCAAACTATTCGAAACCGACAAACTTTATTTTATAGACAAAATGTTATAGTGACACTTATTAACATGATTTTAAAATAGATTTCTTCGTTTTCTTATTTTTGAAGTATTTATTGATTCTGTTTACAAAGACAATAACTTTGGACGTTCAAATATATATATATATATATATATATATATATACATTCAAACTGTCATGTAGTTTTAACTATTTTTCCCTTAAAATCATACTTTAGGGTAATACTCATTACAGTACAAATCGTACCACTCCGTTCGGACGTAATGCTGCTTTTACAACACCGATTGGTCAATATTTGAATAGTCGGATGCCATGTGAAATGCAAGTATATTCACGTTAAAAATATCGCAGAAAGAAGTTAAATGAGGCAGTTGCTTCTCTTTATTTATACCTGAAATATAACTATGCATCATTTTATGTCTCATGCTACCATGATAAAACAAAATAATTATACTACTCTAATTTTTCGGGTTAATTCATTGTATTGTATGCTAAGATTAACAAATATGAAATGAAAAAGAATATCCTTTTACCATTCACTTTACTTTAACACTAAGAACAACTGAGAGGCATGTAAGAGTATAGTTGATGGGCCCCAGAAAAAACAGGATGTTTGTTCACATTCAATAACCAGATAAAACTAAACAAATGCAATTATATGAAATATATAGGATTTACCACTAAATCCGGGTTTAAGTATTCTAGATGATTAGCTAACTTTGATTTACAACTCCTAGACCGAAGAACAACTGTACGTCTCAATACGAAACTGGAATTCAAAGAAAAGCTAGGATATAGTGAAAGGTAAATGATAAAAACATTCACATTCATATTTAGAAAAGCAGGAAAATTCGAAAGCACAAAAAACAAAAGAAAGAATTCAGATGAAAAATATCGAGCTAAAAACACTTAGCTACTGCGATCAACAAAATGCCGAATGATAAAAGTAAAAATAACATTGACTTGCGTCTCTTCATAAGTATTGTCTGATTGTTCGTCACTGTAATTGATTTGTATTTGGATGTGGACAGTTTTGTGGTTGGTGGTATGTAGGTTCGGTGAAGAGGTGTGAGCGGGCGAGAAGGGTGTGAGTTGGTGGTTGTTTTATTTTTGGTGTTGATGACGCGATGCTGAGTGGTAGATGGAGCGAGATGTTGACGCGAAATCGGGTTCGGTGGTGTAGTGGTTATCATGTCTGCTTTACACGCAGAAGGTCCCCGGTTCGAACCCGGGCCGAACCAGGATTTTGACAAATAACACCTGTCGACGCACATCACGAACTACACTCCTCACACTGGAGACACATCATACTCCCCGACACTGCCAACAGTGTACAACAAGCTGACGCAGTCAAAGACATCCACGTCGGTCGTGCTCACCACGAGTACGCCGGTGTGTGGTTGACGTCCGACTGTCGACACGATGACTGGTAAGTCTGTGATCACCCGTATCGAGTGGTCACGTGAGTCTCAATACGCAATACACCTAGCTAAATAGATGCAATCTTTCGAGTGAAGTCGGATAGACCAGTTCCCTCATTGAACAGTCCACTTCACCTACTGTCACACTTACATATCCAACTCCGAGGAGCACTGAACGCCATTAAACAAGTGAGACGGTCCATCAATTCCCCTACCTCACTCACCATGAACAACAGACAACGGGCTGACACATTGTCGGACAAACACATGGAGAGAAACACGGAAGCACTGAATAACTGAACAAATATCCGATTCACGTAATGACGGACTGATTGTACAAGTGTGATTGTGTGATCTGTTGAGTCTTCGACTATGAGACTCAGTGTGCAGAGTAGACAGTGTGATGAGTCGTTGAGGCTGAAGTCGAGTGTAGGAAGGATTGACTGCTGATAGGAGTGTCAATTTCTGTGACAACCCATGACAAGTGACTCGCAGTCGACATTCATTCATCAATGGTTGACGGATCCTGCATGTATTTTATTATCGAGCAGTGAGAGATGCGCGTAATCTGTGTGATGCGGGAAAGCACACAATGGTACTCGGAGACACAACTGATCAAGTGAATCCCACCATATCAATCTTCCAATAACTGACAAGCAGTCTGACCTTCGTGTATGCGTGTGGCTACTCAGAATCAGGTTGTCTGATCAGTGATGAGTATGTTAGCAGATTGTATAGTTTTGCTTAAGTTGAAGAAAGTTTTCACAACTGTATCATTCGAAGGTGGTGACTGCTTCTGAGGACGTCGTTAGTTGTGTCGTGGAGACTGGTGTGGCCACCGATGTCGGTTGATGTGTACGGTTCGACAGCCTCATCACGGATGCGACACTGGTGGTCAAGTGATCCGTGAGTGATGGGAATCTCAGGGAACCGACAGTAACACGAAGGATGCAGTTATGCTTGTGTGTCTTTATAAGTATTGTTTGATTGTTCGTCACTGTAATTGATTTGTATTTGGATGTGGACAGTTTTGTGGTTGGTGGTATGTAGGTTCGGTGAAGAGGTGTGAGCGGGCGAGAAGGGTGTGAGTTGGTGGTTGTTTTATTTTTGGTGTTGATGACGCGATGCTGAGTGGTAGATGGAGCGAGATGTTGACGCGAAATCGGGTTCGGTGGTGTAGTGGTTATCATGTCTGCTTTACACGCAGAAGGTCCCCGGTTCGAACCCGGGCCGAACCAGGATTTTGACAAATAACACCTGTCGACGCACATCACGAACTACACTCCTCACACTGGAGACACATCATACTCCCCGACACTGCCAACAGTGTACAACAAGCTGACGCAGTCAAAGACATCCACGTCGGTCGTGCTCACCACGAGTACGCCGGTGTGTGGTTGACGTCCGACTGTCGACACGATGACTGGTAAGTCTGTGATCACCCGTATCGAGTGGTCACGTGAGTCTCAATACGCAATACACCTAGCTAAATAGATGCAATCTTTCGAGTGAAGTCGGATAGACCAGTTCCCTCATTGAACAGTCCACTTCACCTACTGTCACACTTACATATCCAACTCCGAGGAGCACTGAACGCCATTAAACAAGTGAGACGGTCCATCAATTCCCCTACCTCACTCACCATGAACAACAGACAACGGGCTGACACATTGTCGGACAAACACATGGAGAGAAACACGGAAGCACTGAATAACTGAACAAATATCCGATTCACGTAATGACGGACTGATTGTACAAGTGTGATTGTGTGATCTGTTGAGTCTTCGACTATGAGACTCAGTGTGCAGAGTAGACAGTGTGATGAGTCGTTGAGGCTGAAGTCGAGTGTAGGAAGGATTGACTGCTGATAGGAGTGTCAATTTCTGTGACAACCCATGACAAGTGACTCGCAGTCGACATTCATTCATCAATGGTTGACGGATCCTGCATGTATTTTATTATCGAGCAGTGAGAGATGCGCGTAATCTGTGTGATGCGGGAAAGCACACAATGGTACTCGGAGACACAACTGATCAAGTGAATCCCACCATATCAATCTTCCAATAACTGACAAGCAGTCTGACCTTCGTGTATGCGTGTGGCTACTCAGAATCAGGTTGTCTGATCAGTGATGAGTATGTTAGCAGATTGTATAGTTTTGCTTAAGTTGAAGAAAGTTTTCACAACTGTATCATTCGAAGGTGGTGACTGCTTCTGAGGACGTCGTTAGTTGTGTCGTGGAGACTGGTGTGGCCACCGATGTCGGTTGATGTGTACGGTTCGACAGCCTCATCACGGATGCGACACTGGTGGTCAAGTGATCCGTGAGTGATGGGAATCTCAGGGAACCGACAGTAACACGAAGGATGCAGTTATGCTTGTGTGTCTTTATAAGTATTGTTTGATTGTTCGTCACTGTAATTGATTTGTATTTGGATGTGGACAGTTTTGTGGTTGGTGGTATGTAGGTTCGGTGAAGAGGTGTGAGCGGGCGAGAAGGGTGTGAGTTGGTGGTTGTTTTATTTTTGGTGTTGATGACGCGATGCTGAGTGGTAGATGGAGCGAGATGTTGACGCGAAATCGGGTTCGGTGGTGTAGTGGTTATCATGTCTGCTTTACACGCAGAAGGTCCCCGGTTCGAACCCGGGCCGAACCAGGATTTTGACAAATAACACCTGTCGACGCACATCACGAACTACACTCCTCACACTGGAGACACATCATACTCCCCGACACTGCCAACAGTGTACAACAAGCTGACGCAGTCAAAGACATCCACGTCGGTCGTGCTCACCACGAGTACGCCGGTGTGTGGTTGACGTCCGACTGTCGACACGATGACTGGTAAGTCTGTGATCACCCGTATCGAGTGGTCACGTGAGTCTCAATACGCAATACACCTAGCTAAATAGATGCAATCTTTCGAGTGAAGTCGGATAGACCAGTTCCCTCATTGAACAGTCCACTTCACCTACTGTCACACTTACATATCCAACTCCGAGGAGCACTGAACGCCATTAAACAAGTGAGACGGTCCATCAATTCCCCTACCTCACTCACCATGAACAACAGACAACGGGCTGACACATTGTCGGACAAACACATGGAGAGAAACACGGAAGCACTGAATAACTGAACAAATATCCGATTCACGTAATGACGGACTGATTGTACAAGTGTGATTGTGTGATCTGTTGAGTCTTCGACTATGAGACTCAGTGTGCAGAGTAGACAGTGTGATGAGTCGTTGAGGCTGAAGTCGAGTGTAGGAAGGATTGACTGCTGATAGGAGTGTCAATTTCTGTGACAACCCATGACAAGTGACTCGCAGTCGACATTCATTCATCAATGGTTGACGGATCCTGCATGTATTTTATTATCGAGCAGTGAGAGATGCGCGTAATCTGTGTGATGCGGGAAAGCACACAATGGTACTCGGAGACACAACTGATCAAGTGAATCCCACCATATCAATCTTCCAATAACTGACAAGCAGTCTGACCTTCGTGTATGCGTGTGGCTACTCAGAATCAGGTTGTCTGATCAGTGATGAGTATGTTAGCAGATTGTATAGTTTTGCTTAAGTTGAAGAAAGTTTTCACAACTGTATCATTCGAAGGTGGTGACTGCTTCTGAGGACGTCGTTAGTTGTGTCGTGGAGACTGGTGTGGCCACCGATGTCGGTTGATGTGTACGGTTCGACAGCCTCATCACGGATGCGACACTGGTGGTCAAGTGATCCGTGAGTGATGGGAATCTCAGGGAACCGACAGTAACACGAAGGATGCAGTTATGCTTGTGTGTCTTTATAAGTATTGTTTGATTGTTCGTCACTGTAATTGATTTGTATTTGGATGTGGACAGTTTTGTGGTTGGTGGTATGTAGGTTCGGTGAAGAGGTGTGAGCGGGCGAGAAGGGTGTGAGTTGGTGGTTGTTTTATTTTTGGTGTTGATGACGCGATGCTGAGTGGTAGATGGAGCGAGATGTTGACGCGAAATCGGGTTCGGTGGTGTAGTGGTTATCATGTCTGCTTTACACGCAGAAGGTCCCCGGTTCGAACCCGGGCCGAACCAGGATTTTGACAAATAACACCTGTCGACGCACATCACGAACTACACTCCTCACACTGGAGACACATCATACTCCCCGACACTGCCAACAGTGTACAACAAGCTGA